AGCAGTAGAAAATGGAAATATTGGTTGATGCTGCTAAGTATGAGATACAGCATCAGCAGTCTCATCAACAGGAAGATTATGTTTAATGTTGGTAATTATGTACTCAGGATTGTCCCACGAAGGGTTCAGGAATTTAATCACATAGTAGTAAGAAGTGATTTTTTTTCTATCATTTCACTCCAGTCAGTTCGATATGGCCACTAAGACGCAAATGGGATGTATTGAAAGTGAAACCGAGAAGAAATTACTTCAGATGAAGGACAATAAAAAGAACAACATTCATAAATACAAATGAATGACGTTGCATTTAAATTTTTGAAAGTCTTAGTTCACAGGAAATCAAGAAACAGAAGAGAGTTTTATAGGTGATAATTGCAAGAGTTAAAAAACTAATAAAACTTACGGGTACACGTAGCAATTTCAACAATAAAATGATGGGACCTAACTGCCAATGTAGTTCTTCTCCTTCATGTTCCGTGTCTCCTCAGGACGTAGGCGACCAAAAGTTTTTAAGTCGAGGTACCGATGATGAAAGCCCGATATAATAATTCCAATTTCTATCAGAAAGCATATCAGGCGAATAATGCCAAAACCCATAAAACGTCTACCCCTAGAACACTTAATGAAGGAACAAATAGCCCTGAGTACAGGGATGATACTCCGAGTGTATATATCTCGTTTACCCAGAAGTCAAGGTAAATTTCTTGTCGGATGAATCTGCCTCTTAAGGACCAAACAAATGAATTAATTATCGAATTTCGAATTATGACAATACTCAGTCAAACACCACATGCAATTCTACCGATGAATGCAAATATCATGAACGGAAAATGTAAGCAACGAGGTATTGTTAAGGAAAATAGGGAAAAAACACGGAAATTTATACTTACAATCAGAAAGAGACTGCTAGAATTTCGGAGATACTTGATGAAGACAAAAGAACTGGAAAACTTAACATTCAGAATATATCCTGAAGGCAAGAAAAGCATGACAAAACAGCGAGTAAGCTGTTACTTAATGAGCTTGTGTGAATGAATGACAGAACAAAGAAATGAGTAAAAAAAATTACCTAGATCAACAAAATTGACGAATTTTTTAGAGATCGCTTTATGCTGCAGTGAAATCAAGAAATAAATGAAAATAGTAGCGTTAAACAATAAAGATTCAACTCACTAAATATGGGGGAGACAAGATAGAATTTATCTCAGAATATCGTAACAATTCATATGCTATTATTTCCATGGCTGGCAGAGGGACTACAGTCGATGTTTCAGCTTCTAGTCCGTATCCAGCTGTTGGGCACATTAAGATATGATAGAAAACGAAAACAGATCAATTTCATTGCGAAAAAGTGATAGAACACGGGCTTCAGTTTATGTTCATTATTCATTGAACGTCTTTTTTTAATATGGTTCCAAATAGATTAACTCGGCACATAGATAGTTACACCTATTAAGACGAGGATAGATAGATAGATAGATAGATAGATAGATAGATTTTCAGTTCCATAACTTACCCTGGCAACTACATACTCTGAGCCAATCATAACTTAGCCCCTCTGCTCTTACACCGAACATACCTCAAGTTTGGCACGGCCCAAACCATAATAATAAAGTCAAACTTAATTGTTCAATCACCTTGCTAAACTCATGTACAAACCTATGCATGTCCTCTGTATAGCTTATTAAATCGAATGGTAGTAGGGGGTGCATACGCACCCCGAGCAACCTTCGTTACTCACTTCTCTTAATTATCATTCTCTTAATTTACTCCTCATGTATATTTGCGAACTTGTCTTGGTACCTTAGGTCTTTGGCCGGTACGATGTTTCTGACCCAAGGAGGAGTTCTGTTACATTGACGTCTGTCATGTACACTCAGAATATCACTCTGTATCTTCTTTCCTTGTTTATTTGTCCCTTTAAAAAGTGTGATGGACGTAGACGTTTTCTGGGTTTTGGCGTTATCTGCTTGATAGCGACCCGAAGCTTTGAATAACTTGGAGGTGTATAATATCGGGGCTATTGTACTGGCCTTTTGTGAATGGTTTCCGGACTGTGCCGTTGTTTCCCGGACAATTCAGTTCAGGTTATTTATGCAGGCATCGCCTGTGAGTGTTTTTGTCTGTCTACTAGTCTTCCATCAACCAAAGTACAACATCTACACGAAACCGATTAAAATGAGCAAATTTTGAAAACCCAATCTCAAAAAGAGTAAACGTCAGATCTACCCTCTTCTACACCAATGTACGAAGTGGAACTCTGTCTTTTTGAGGTCAAACCCGACCAGCTATTTCTGTTTAAAACATGTATCAATGCCTCAATCCCAATACAGAAGCTCATAATTCCGGTCTGTCCGTCCATAATACCCAAACATGATCACCTAAACCATCACGGCCACAGATTCAGGGTTTCACTTTGGCGGGGACGGAAAAAATGTCCCATGTATGGTTACTCCACTCGAATATAACCAATGTTGAAGGAAGATATCAGAGACTTCGAATGCAAAGCAGTAGAGTATACCGTTTCCAAATTCCTGGCGGAGTGAATTGCATCATCGTGCTCTTCTTTTCACAGACGGTGCCCAACTGACCATATAATACCATCCAGTAGACAAAATTAAAAGCAAACAAGGCGCATGCGCAAAATTAAAGATATAAGATGGCGAAAATTTACCCATCGCACCCTGTATTATGAAAAAAACTCATGATAAAGACTTAAAGAAATTAGAATTTTTGATTTTCCGAATAGAAAAAAATCGAGATTTTGCCACGCATTGTCATTTACTTTTGAGTGAAGACGGAGTTAGTATCTGACGTGACATCTGCAAGAAGAAATATGGAATAGAGAATCCCGAAGGAAAAGAATCCACCAAATATCCATGAATTATGTGGTCATCCATTAACTGCGACTCCGTTTTGAAAGAAAAAACGATATCTTAATGGTCACATCATTCTAACCATTCTGCTATTGCGTCATGTCTTTACGAGGTTGGCAATGACTAATTTAAATAGATTCTAAAATGTAAAGCTGATGAGATTAGTGATGAATGAAGAAAAGCCTGTGTAGGAGTGACTGTAAATTTCAGAAGAATAAAGAAAAAGCTTCTTAGCTAATCAGGCAACAATCAACAAGGACTGGACTGTGATGAATAGAATCTTTGGTGGAAGAACGCCATCAGTGAATGCTGTCTTTCTGTCTAGTATTTTTTTAATAAGATTGGAGTGAAGAAGATTGCGTCATAAAGCTGCAACCAGAATAACTGGAGACAAACAAGAGATATTCGAAATACATACTTGCAGACTTGGCAGAGAAATTCATTGAACAAAGAATATTGCTCATGTATTTTACTAAGGGCTACAAAGCCCAGGAAGTTCTGGAGAGCCATAATCGCGTACGTCTTGAAGCGACACAGCATAGAGAAGAAAAACGCATGTCAAACATTTTTACCAAAGAATTCCAAAGAAAAACTCTTTCAATGTGGTTTCACTTATGTATATGGATATATATATATATATATATATATATATATATATATATATATATATACACTCATACACACATACACACACACACATAGATAGATAGATAGATAGATAGATAGATAGATAGATAGATAGATATGATAAGATAAAGAACATATAGGAAAGGTTTACCACTCTAATATAATAAAGCTTTGTCAGAGAATGAAATATGTAGAAAAAGAAGAAATAAATTATTAATTTTATGTTGCTTGCTTTTCCTTCGTCAATCCTGTTTTCCGTGAATTTCACTTGTTAAATCGTACTAACGCTAGTTTAACAAGTCGAATGCACGCGAAACATGATTAACATGTTAGCTTGATAAACGTTTCCTATTTGTTCTTTATCTTATCATTGTGTCGTATTCCTATCCATATTTGATCACAATTGTATTAACCAGAATTAACCAGTATGTGTGGGTATGTGTGCGTGTGTGTCTGTAGTTAAGACCGATTGCAAAGAAAACTTGGTACATTGGGGCCAAGAGGAGTTGAGTGAAACAGAGAATAAACTACAGAACGATTTCTTGTAAATGGATGATCGAACAGGGAATGGGTATTGGCATACGATGACAGACATTGATCAATCGAAGGAACCCTAGAAGCTCGTCGAAAGTCACGAGGGACAAGGCACACAAACGAAGTACCCAATTTTATGCGTTGTTTATAGATTCATTTTGTAAATATACTCATTTCAATTTTGCAAATATTTAATAAATTTATCGATATATTATATTTTGTGAATCAGTTATGTGCCGTGCGGGATACACACTTAGGCGATCATGTATCTTTAGATACATGACTGACAAGGCAGACTTTTACCCGCAGTAGGTTGCCATTTATTTCTGAGGTAGACCAGTTGCCATCCAAGACTATAGAACCCGGTCTGTCCTGCTATTTACCCATAGCTAGGAGAAGAAGACGAGGATTCATAACTTTCCCAAGGTTATTAGCACGCAATTGAATGCAGTGGATTCGACTGAAAAGTCAGTCAGTTATGTGCCATGCGTTATATGCGTTTAGGCGATCATGTATCTTTCGATACATGACTGACTAGGCAGATTTTTTCCCACAGTAGGTTGCCATTTCCTTCTGCGTTAGACCAGATGCCATCCAAGGCTACAGAACCCGGTTTGTCCTGCTATTTACCCATAGCTGGAGGGTGGGGAAGAGGATTCATACCTTTCTCAAGGATATTAGTACGTAAGTAATTGTAATGGATTCTATTGGAATTCGAACTCGGCTCTTCGATTCCTCAATCCGAACCGCTATCCATGACTCCACAGTTAAATTATTTCAACCGAAAATTTAATGTATTTCTCATTTCCCGTCGGTCACTTCGTATTCACAGAGCTCCCCCTAACTTGTGATCTTGTGCCAGACTTAGCTAGCTGAGGAAAGCACCTCATTTCAGTAAGAGTAACCTAATAGTTGCGTTGAATAAATGTAATTTGGCTTTGATAGTGTATGAATATTTACGATATGACTACCTACCCGCCTTTTTCAAAAGAAATCGACAAGTTTAAATTGTATCTGCAGAAAATCATTGAATTCATGTCTCATGATAGCGGATTCTTTCAATTTGGCTTCATCAAATTTAAAATTTGCTCACTTGTCAAAGATGTTGATGTCGACTTGGGTAATTGTGCATGAAGGAGTTCTTTTCACGCATTTCTTTTTTTCAATGATTGCCACTCGATTCTTTCATTTTGAAATTTCATCTTTTAAATCAGGAGTCATTTATTTTAGGCGTGTGGGTGTGTAAGGGGGAAAAGAGAACGAGATAGTACATGTCTTTGAAATGGTTTTGTGTTTACTGAGCAAATAACTCACTTTCTGTATCACTATACACACATACGTAAATATATATATATATATATATATATATATATATATATCATAAAATATATAAATATGAATATATATTATATACATGACAATGTGCAGCAAGATTGATAATCTATATATGTATTCACACGTACACCACACACACACACTTTTTATATATTTTCTGTTTATACGTTATTTCAAAGATACAATTTATTTAAGTCAATGGTCGGTTTTAATTAAACAGTATTAATTACATTTACCGACCTGAATGTTCGAGAAATTTTTAGAAAAATATACATTCTTCTATATATATATATATATATATAAAAGAAATATGTTGTAGTGGTTCCAACTTGAGAGAAAAGTATTATTTAAGTCAAATTTTTATTTTTTAATTAAAAAAAGTATTAACTTTTTTTTTTACCAAATTACAACCAAAACGTTATATATATATATAATGTATATATATATATATATATATATATATATATATATATATATATATATATATATATATATATATATATATATATATATATATATATATATATATATATATATATATATATATATATATATATATATAAAGAGAGAGAGAGAGAGAGAGAGAGAGAGAGAGAGAGTGCTTATTTTCTTAAACAGTAAAATTAATAACAGGACGAAATTGAGCAGATTACTAGTAATATATCCTCCAGTATGACAAGCGATTTCTGGATAATCTCCTCAAAGATGAAGAAGATACTTGAAGCATCAGAAATATGGAACTAGAGAGAGATGTTAAGGATACCTTGGACCAAACATATATATTTTGACGATAAAACTTTGTTTTTATTAAGTTTTGGACATTTTTTTCATCATCGTATACTAATTTTTAAATATATATATATATATATATATATATATATATATATATATATATATATACAAAGAAATCACACATAGAATCAATCAGCAATATTAATGCTATTATTGGCGACATCCATTAATATTGCTGATTAATTCTATGTGTGATTATTTTTGTATATAAATTATATGCTGCCTAATGTTTTATGTTTTTATATATATATATATATATAGTTTTAAGGTGTATATATTTATGGAATAAAATGCTCATTATCAGAGATAGAGCGTATGTAAATATAAATATAAAGTGAACATTGAAGTCAACACTCAGAGGCGACAGGCTGTTTCCTGCTAGACACAATCGTCGCTGTCTGACGATTGCAACTAGCATGAAACAGCCTCTCGCCTCTGAGTGTTGACTTCAATGTTCACTTTTATATATATATATATATATATATATATATATATATATATATATATATATATATATATTGCCTAAAAATTTTATTGTACAGTGAGCTCTCCACTGACTGTCACGGCAGACGGGCGCCAAAGAAGCGATTCAAAAGATTGTCTAAAAATCATTTGGTGCCTAGCTGAGAACCGTGATGCCTGGCGTTGCACCACCAAGTATGCTGTCTTCTTTGAAAATACTTGCAGCTGCAGGCCTGCTATCATGGACAAGAGGCAAAGGAGGAAGTACTGCAATGCTATGCCATCGAGCTCAGGCCGGACTTTGAGCTGCAACTACTGCGACTGTGTATGGTTGTCCTGCAAGCGACGTGTACAGACTCCCTCTCGTTTTGCGGAGCTAAGCCGTGACGATTATGATACATAAGTGTATATTACTCCCTGATATATATATATATATATATATATATATATATATATATATATATATCGTTTGTAGCCTTTAACATATGTTATCTTTGCGTCATCTCTCCGTTCTGCCTTTGCATTTAATTCAATCTCACCACTTAGTCTAATCATTTTCCTCTGTCCCTCTTACCTCTTAGTATAAATAGGTAAAATAATATATAAAAAAAATAATAATGAAATTCATAAATAAAATAAGACAATAATATTTAATCCTTATTTAAAATAAATTAAATAAAAAAATAAAAAATAAACTGTTCCTGCCGGAAATATGGATATCCCGCCAAAAAAACATTAAATTCAATTTCTTCACCACGATTCTACATACGGGCAACACGTGTCAGACTTCTCTCTGGAATATTGCGTGTAATAATACGATGTAACTTCTTCCTATCACACGCATATATCTATCTATCTATCTCTCTCTCTCTCTCTCTCTCTCTATATATATATATATATATATATATATATATATATATATATATATATAGATATTTTATTTTAAAAAAATATGTATGTAAATTTGCATTAATATTATAAATTAATTGATTTAAAATATGGTTATTTTCAGTTCAACCATGTTGCAGAGACCGGTAATTTTATTTTGAAATGTTGGGAGGAGTAACTTTTAAAAACCGGGTGCTAAAAAATGGTTTTTCCATTCATTAAAGAAGTCCTTCCCAGCAAATATATGAGGTTAAGTGTCGTCTGAATTTTAAAAAAAAAAAAAAAAAAAAAAAAAAAAAAATTTATCCACTCATTAACTAAATATTTTCCTTTTTAATTTTATTTTCCCAGCAAATATATGATATTTTGTCGTTTGTTTAGATATTTGGAGAACATTGTCGGCTGAGACTACCATTAACGGGGCGCGTAAGCACCGAAGAAGTCTTGAGAATAATCGAAACAATAAAAGACATTTATACTCAGAATCAAAAAGGGGGCAGCAGAGATTTCCTGGATAGCTAATGAGGGCTTGGTAAATATGACACTCATAAGACATATCGACGGCAAAAGGCATAGGGGAGGTCAGCAGGCAATCGACGAGACGAGTTTATATGAATGGATTGCGGTATGGGTGTGTGAGTGGTGAAGGGAGTTCATGCTTAACAGGCAGTCGTAGTTTACGTTTCGTTCTATTTAGAAGACAAATAGAAATGTTTGGAACATTAAACTAGAAAAATCAAACAATACAGCATCCAATTATTCTCCATACGTTTTAGTTGTTATTCAGACAATAAAAAAATATCTTCAAACTTCTGTAAAAGCTCTTCACTATCAATGACTCTTTGCAAATCAATTTTAATTATGAAATCATTTTCTCTCGGTCGTTTTATAACGTTCCAGCTTTTTTAAATATTCAGCGTTTTTTTATGTTTTATCTGGTCTTTTCATCCTAAATATTGTATTTCTCTTCGTAAATTCTTCGATGTCTCCTCACTTTCTTTCTTTGATCTTTTTTTCTTTTCTTTAATCATTTTTATTCATTTTTCTTTCCTCTTTTTCTTTCCTCTTTTTTCTTTCTTTTTATTTAATTATTTTCATTCTTTTTCTTGATTCCTTTCTTTCATTTTTCTTAAGTCTATTTTATTCATTTTTCCTTATATTTCATTCTTTCTTTTTCTTCCTAATTTTTTCTTTGTTCATTTTCTTCCTTCTTTCTTTCTTTCTTTCTTTATTCCTTTCTATCTTTTCTATTTTTCCTTTAATCATTTCTATTTATTATCTTTCCTCTTTTTCTTTCTTTCTTTTCCTTTAATCATTTTCATTCTTTTTTCATGTTTTCTTCCTTTCTTTTTTCTCTAGTGTTTTTATTCATTTTTCTTCCTTTTCTTTTCTTTCTTCCTATCTTATTCTTTAATCATTTTCCTTTCCTCATTCTTTCTTTCTTTTCTTTAACCTGTTTTTTCATTTTTGTTTCCTCTTTTTGTTTTAATATTTTCATTCTTTTTCTTGATGCCTTTATTTCTTGTTTCTTTAGTCCTTTTAATTCATTTTTCGTTCCTCTGTTTTCTTTAAATATTTTTATTTCTTACTTCTTTCATTTTTTTAATTACATTTAGTCATTTTCTTTCCTTATTTTTCTTAAATCATTTCTTCTATCCTTTCTTTCTTTATTCTTCAATCTTTTTCTTCATTTTTTACTTCCTTTATTCATTTTCCTTCCTTTATTTCGTTCTCTGTTTTTTCTTTGTTTCTTCTGTTTATTCTCTAATTCCTTTTTTTCTGAATTCATTCGCATGCGATTTATAAATTACTTTTGCTCAGCTTATTTTTATTTCCCTTTTCTGTATCTTCTTCGTTTCATTTAATCTTTTTCTTTCTTATTTTTTTATTATCAGTTTCTATTTTTCCAATCTTTTTTTTTTCGTTTTTATCTTCGTCCATGCATTTCGTCTTCTTCTTTTCATTTTTGATTTCCCATTTATTTATTTCATATTTTTTCATTCTTTTCCTTCAGTTCCTTCTTTCCTTTATCCATGATTATTTTTCTTCATTTAATGCGCTTACTAGCATCTTTTGTCAAACCTTTTTACAACCCTATTTTTTATTATTATCATTATTCAACATGGCGTTCCGCTTGAATGACTAAGCAATTTTCAGTTGATCGTCTTTTCCCGCTCGTCGCTTTCATGGTTTTCAATGAGTAATGACACTCTCCGGTTCCAGTATACACGTTTCTTTTCATCCAGCAGTCATTTTATCAATTGCATTCATCACCAACCTCACTTTCACGAAGCTTCCATGTAGCTTCCCATACAATTCGCGTTAACAACCGCTAAATGTCAAATATACTGACAAATTGAAGAGGACATTTCGTTGGGACAATTGCCGAAAAGACCTCATCTTCAGGTGGTGCAAAGAGTTTTGAAGTAATAATATGGAAGATAAAATAAACGTGTTGATGCACGTTTATAAGAAAAATTAAATTATCAAAAGAACCTTTAACGTCCAAGTTTCGCTGGATATAAATGCTAAACCACTTTTTAAAAAGCGCTTATAAAATTCAAAATTAACAAAGAAATGGACAGAAAATTCCCTTCACAGATAAAACCTGCGATAAAAACAAAAAAGCATTGGCTTAACAGAATCAGTTTTTCAACCATTTTCTTGTATTTAACATGTGAATTTTTGATGTTATTTAAAGCCTGTACCTGAACAGGTTTTACTCTCGTCCGTATATTTGTTTCTTTCTTTCTTTCTTATAGACCTTCGTTATGACTTTATCGTTTTTACGGTTTTCTTTCTTTCTCTCTTTCGTTCTTTCTTTCTTTCCTTATTTCTTTCTTTTATATAATAAATAACTTTATCATTTTCTACGGTTTTCGTTCTTTCTCTCTTTCGTTCTTTCTTTCTTTCTTTCCTTCTTTCTTTCTTTTATATAATAAATAACTTTTATCCTTTTTCATTTTATTTCTCTTCGTTCATATTTTTTTTCTTTCAAATTTTTTTTTTTTGGGACGTTCCTTCTTTCTTTCTTTTTATATAATAAATAACTTTATCATTTTTACGTTTTCGCTTAGTTCCTTTTCTTTTTCCTCTTTCTTATTTTCTTTCTTTCTTATAAACCTTCGTTATAACTTTATCATTTTCTACGTTTTTTTTTTCATTCTTTCTTTCTTTCTTTTAGACCTTCGTTATAATTTTCTACGGTTTTCTTTTTTTCTTATGGACCTTCATTATAACTTTATCATTTTCTACGCTTTTCTATCTTTCTTTCTTTTAGACTTTCGTTATAACCTTATCATTTTTTACCGTTTCTTTCTTTCTCTTTTTTGTTCTTTCTTTTTCGCTTTCTTTCTTTCTTTCTTTTTCTTTTTTTTTATATAATAAATAATTTTATCATTTTCTACATTTTTTTTCGTTTTCTTTTTATTTTCTTTTCTTTTTCTTTCTTTTCTTTTTTCTTTTTCTTTCTTTTCTTTCTTTCTTATAGACCTTCGTTATAACTTTATTGTTTTTTTTTGTTTTTTTTTACAGTTTCCTTTCTTTCTTCTGCTATCATGGATAAAAAAAACTTCCATTTTTTTTTTTTTTTTTTTGCTACTTAAAATTAACAAACGAATGAACAGAAAATTAGCTACACAGATCAAATTGGCCCTTCCAGCTTGTGGAAACTTGTTCCTGTTGACAGTTTATTCTCTCGCACTTCTCACTCGTGGAACTCTCTGAGTTTCTTGCTTTCCGGTTAAGTTTGACCATAAAAAATTTAAATGCAATTTCAATCGTTATCTTCAGTCTACTTAATCCCTGTTATTTATTGTTCGCTCCCCTTAATAGAGTTTTTTGTCTCATATTCTTTCAAATTCATTAAACCCTTGCATCATAGTGGCTTTATTGTCTTACATTGAGTGAAATGATTGAAAAAAAAGTAAAAATAGTAACCTTGAACGTTTTTCTCTTCACTCAATTGAAGGTAGTAAACGAGTTTCCTATAAATAGCAAAGCAATTTAATTTTAAAACATATATAAAAAAATAATTGTTTATTTATAAAGACCCATAATGTTCTTTATTTAAAGGTATAGACCTCCAGAACTGACGGTCTATTTCGTCGTTCCACTGGGAGAAAAAGCATTAACTTAACAGAGTCATTTTTTTATACATTTTCCTTATTTTTAACATGTGGAATTATTGATGATATTTCAAGCCTGAACCTGAACAAGTTTTACTCTCGTCCGTATCATCTCCATAGAATAATATCAGCACAAAACCATTACCTCAACTCTAAAAAAACAGACACAAACATTTTATATAATCGTTATGAAATAGAAATGTCAATCATAAGGTAAAGTCTGTTCTTCTTTAGTTACAATACTTTTTATGATAGAAGCACAAAGCGGATTTCAAACCAAGAATTAACCTCTCCGGATTTCAAATCTATACTTCCAGGTAGTATCTTAACTTTTCAATTGTGATACAAGAGCAAGCTGAATGTAATACATGTTTCTCTGTAAAATTCCATACTATTCTTCAGCCAATACAAGACCTAAGAGTCATTCAAGGCAGAAGAATTAAGCAGTTATAGATAAATAAAAAGTGCATATTATTGGATATATAGGATAAAAAAGATTGACCATAGACTTGATGAGGTTAAATTTGTAGTGTTCCAGGAAGCATGCTCTCAGGAGTCTGTTCCATAAAGCAACAGATTTTGAGGAAGGTTGTCTGGGTGGATCTTCCTCCTTACCAATGGAATATGAAGGTAATTACGATATCGGATCTGAGTAGTAATTCTAATGGACTGAACTAATGAAACTAGCGAATATAGCTTATCTAAACTTGTTATTGAAATAATGATAGATTAGTGAGAAGCAAACAATGCTTCGTCTCTGGGAAAGGGGTTATAGCCTGGACAATAATTAATCATACTCCAGACAGTATAAACGCCTAGAGAGACGATTGCGTAGCTTCATTGCAGATATAGCATCAATAGTCCATTTTTTTTTATCTCAGCCGACACTTACAAAAGTGCATGGCAGGAGGAATAAGGTAGCTTCTGGTACAGTACAAGGAGACGACTATTTTCTCAGTCGCTTCAGCCATTGATTGAATACATATGAGTTCTGCTTGACGTCAGGGGTAAGCTTCAGTTCCCATGAATATTCAAAGCAAGGTGCCTTATTGAACGTACGACCATTCTTCATGACAAGAGTAAACACAGGGTCTGCTCTGTAAGGATGAAACTTTACAATATTGGTCTTGTAGCTGTTGAATGTGTTTACCACTTTAATATTTATTTTTATTGGATACTCGTTTTTGAATAGACTCCCCTTTTATTTATCATTCGAATCCTACAGGAGAACACATATTTTTCTTTAATAAAATTTTTCAAATATTCAGGCCGGTAAACAAAAATAAATAAACATATTGTTTAATGAATGAACGTAGCGTTTACTCAAATACAAGTATCCACTAAAAATAAGGTTTAAAATTATTAAAAAATCTGTTGGGTTAATAAAAACTCAATTCCTTCTTTAGAAATTGCTTTGTTTACGTTTGAATGAGAAAGGGAGCAAATATGAAAATTTCGAGAGTCTATGACGAGAAGAATTTCGCCGAACGGCCTGATCGGCTAAGTTCTTCTTAGATCAGTCGGTTTAGAGCACATCGGATCTAACGACGGTTCCCCACTGTTCCAGGTTCGAATCCTGCCGGAGAGCGAATAGACGGAAGTAAGTAAATATACTGTTTTATAAATAAACTGTGCATCTACTCAAACTCGAGAATCCGCTAAAAAAAATAACGATAAATTCTGTCTCGTTAATAAAAAAAAATATGGCTCTTTCTTTAGAAAATTGTTTTTGAATGCTACAAGTTAGTTTTTTTTTCCACTGAGCTAATTGCCCAATGCATATGAAAATGAATTTAAAAGACTTAGAATTTCAAATCTAGTTCTCAAAATAGTATCCTTCCTTTTTAATCGTGATGCTAAAAGTAATGTATATCTGTTCTTCTTTCATTACAACAGGATTAAAAACTAAAACACAAAGCATATCAAAATAACATCCACCCCCACCCCAGAATTCCAAATACAGTTTGTGATGGAGTCTCTTTTCTTCTAAATAGTTGAAACAGGTATAGATCAAAAAGTAATACCTGTTCGCTTTTAATTACAACTGATTAATAACAGACACACACAAGGCGCACCAAAACGAACGCAAAAGTATATATATTTTATTCAGTCGAGTTAGCTTGAACATTGATGAGTCTATCACGCTAACCATTACGATCCTGCATCAAGGTCGGAAGTTCATCAAAGAGGCACTCTCTTTCAAAACTGATCAATACAGGTGATTGCTATGCGACGAACTCGACTTGATGGCGAGGTGTCCAGAACCATAGGTCACCCATGAGTTCTTGTTTTGCTCGCCAGCAGTGTCCTGCAAAGTGTATTCTGCGTTCACGTAAGATTGTAGAAATATCAGTGAAGGGTCCTTAGAGCTGTGATTTAGTTTGGATGTTGTCACCAAGAGATGTTAAGCATATCTCTCTGCATCCAAGTGTAGGTTCCATCAAGCTTAGACACTAGGGTTTAAGATTGTAGAAATATCAGTGAAGGGTCCTTAGAGCTGTGATTTAGTTGGATGTTGTCACCAAGAGATGTTAAGCATAGCTCTCTGCATCCAAGTTTAGGTTTCATCAAGCTTAGACATTAGGGTTTAAGATTGTAGAAATATCAGTGAAGGGTCCTTAGAGCTGTGATTTAGTTGGATGTTGTCACCAAGAGATGTTAAGCATAGCTCTCTGCATCCAAGTGTAGGTTTCATCAAGTTTAGACATTAGGGTTTAAGATTGTAGAAATATCAGTGAAGGGTCCTTAGAGCTGTGATTTAGTTGGATGTTGTCACCAAGAGATGTTAAGCATAGGTCTCTGCATCCAAGTGTAGGTTTCATCAAGCTTAGACACTAGGGTTTAAGATTGTAGAAATATCAGTGAAGGGTCCTTAGAGCTGTGATTTAGTTGGATGGTGTCACCAAGAGATGTTAAGCATAGTTCTCTGCATCCAAATGTAGGTTCCATCAAGCTTAGACACTAGGGTTTAAGATTGTAGAAATATCAGTGAAGGGTCCTTCGAGCTGTGATTTAGTTGGATGTTGTCACCAAGAGATGTTAAGCATAGCTCTCTGCATCCAAGTGTAGGTTCCATCAAGCTTAGACACTAGGGTTTAAGATTGTAGAAATATCAGTGAAGGGTCCTTCGAGCTGTGATTTAGTTGGATGTTGTCACCAAGAGATGTTAAGCATAGCTCTCTGCATCCAAATGTAGGTTCCATCAAGCTTAGACACTAGGGTTTAAGATTGTAGAAATATCAGTAAAGGGTCCTTCGAGCTGTGATTTAGTTGGATGTTGTCACCAAGAGATGTTAAGCATAGCTCTCTGCATCCAAGTGTAGGTTTCATCAAGCTTAGACATTAGGGTTTAAGATTGTAGAAATATCAGTGAAGGGTCCTTCGAGCTGTGATTTAGTTGGATGTTGTCACCAAGAGATGTTAAGCATAGCTCTCTGCATCCAAGTGTAGGTTTCATCAAGCTTAGACATTAGGGTTTAAGATTGTAGAAATATCAGTGAAGGGTCCTTCGAGCTGTGATTTAGTTGGATGTTGTCAACATTAGGGTTTAAGATTGTAGAAATATCAGTGAAGGGTCCTTAGAGCTGTGATTTAGTTGGATGGAGATGTTAAGCATAGCTCTCTGCATCCAAATGTAGGTTCCATCAAGCTTAGACACTAGGGTTTAAGATTGTAGAAATATCAGTGAAGGGTCCTTAGAGCTGTGATTTAGTTGGATGTTGTCACCAAGAGATGTTAGCTCTCTGCACATGTAGGTTCCATCAAGCTTAGACATTAGGGTTTAAGATTGTAGAAATATCAGTGAAGGGTCCTTAGAGCTGTGATTTAGTTGGATGTTGTCACCAAGAGATGTTAAGCATAGCTCTCTGCATCCAAATGTAGGTTCCATCAAGCTTAGACACTAGGGTTTAAGATTGTAGAAATATCAGTGAAGGGTCCTTAGAGCTGTGATTTAGTTGGATGTTGTCACCAAGAGATGTTAAGCATAGCTCTCTGCATCCAAATGTAGGTTCCATCAAGCTTAGACACTAGGGTTTAAGATTGTAGAAATATCAGTGAAGGGTCCTTAGAGCTGTGATTTAGTTGGATGTTGTCACCAAGAGATGTTAGCATAGCTCTCTGCATCCAAGTGTAGGTTCCATCAAGCTTAGACACTAGGGTTTAAGATTGTAGAAATATCAGTGAAGGGTCCTTAGAGATGTTAAGCATAGTTCTCTGTGATTTAGTTGGATGTTGTCACCAAGAGATGTTAAGCAT